AATGCTGAATTGTTTCAGGTGAAAGCTGAGAGCGTACGTATGCCAGGAGCATACCTAATGCATTACAGCTGCTCATAGTGAGTCAGTCCATGCAACTCCAGAAAGGTGCTATGCGATGGAATCAGCTCCCTTATAGGTTATAAATCGCTTTAATCTACAAATCTGCTCCCATTGGCCCACACCATTCACTAGTGTAGACATGACCTAAGAACTGTATCTGTCTGTATAAGGTATCTGGTACAGTGAGAATGGCCTTAGTTTGAATACTTCTGCTTGAGATGATGTTTTTCTGCGGGCAGTGACATCGTCTACATTAAAATAGTAAAGTATCTTTTTTACTTAGACTGTTATTTTAGACCTTTCTATACCTTAATTTGTATTTGATGACAGCTTTGCGATTTTGTTTTAGTACAGTTGACTAATGTTTTTTGACCATATATGGTTTTATGCCTCTTGTAAGGTTTGTCACGTGTGTGTTTCTCAGGTGATGGATAATCACACCTCACATCAACATTTCAGGTTACCTAAACGTAAACAGTTTTAGGGTGGGGGGTTTCTCATGTTTTAGCCTAGTTAATGATTTTATGAATTAAACTACAAAAGTGAGGATATCACTTAACCAGATTGAGTTACATCATTGCAAATATTAAGAGTTCATCTGCAATAATTTGAAACGTTTTGGAAAAAAATGCCAGTTGGACGGACTTCAGCAGAGGCCTCCTGGACACCAGTCTGCCAGCTGCTCTGGCCTGTAGCCAGTGCTGCTGTTCCCTACACCCAGGGTCTGGCAGGGGAACCTAGGGTACAAGGGGAAGGACAGAGCACTAACCCTTAAAGGAGAACATTCCTGTCAGAAACTTCTCACTGTGTCCTGATCCCTTAGTTTCACTGAAACTAATTGGCAACTGTTTGTTTGTTTTAAAATCATGGCACTGTGCTGTTCTGGGACTAATTATACTGTTATTTATTTGTGCTGCAGAGCAAGGTAAGTCGTATATCTAGTCCGGACCTAAGAGGGATGCAAGTAAGTCGTTAACCTGTTGATTTATAGTCACTGTAACAAACAGAATGCAAGCTACACTTTATTGTGGCTGCTGTAACTTGTAAAACACTACAAATCACACACAATATATTAACAGCTTTTAATTTTATATAGTGGCAATAGAGCATTAAATACAAAACTTGAAACCAAAAGCAACTTTCAAAAGGGTGTTTTAAAGGCATTTAAAAGAACATGCTGAACACTTAATGGATAGAACATTTTGAAAGGAAGATGTTTTGTGTACATATTAACACCATTTCAAGTTTTACACCAGAAAACATCCTCCTTGATCGTGCAATGTATGTTCCAGTTATAAGCAGCAAAGCTTTAGTCCTCTGCAGTAACCTAAACAGAGCTAGTCAGATGTTTATATTTAAAAAGTGCTGCATTTTTCTGTTTTCTAGAAAACAGAAGCTCTAAGAGGCACTTGTACTGTTCCAGTAGTCATACAAACTTGGAACATTAAATAGCCAGACTCAGCTTTAAGTTCATCTACAGTCAGAGAAAATTTCATTTAAGTGTGCAGCTGAGTTATAGCTTTCTAGGTTTCTGAGCAGTGTTTTTTGGCCTGAATTTTATTGTTGCTTGAGCCCCCTCTACAGCGGTGGACAGAGACATGGGCTCAGCTAGTTGGTTAATCAACTAGCTCTGTACAGGTCTAGCAGCAAATAGCTGCCATGGGAAATGCCCAGGAGGACTTCCCCTGACAAACAGATTATGTGCAACAGCTTAAACCATCTCTTCCCTGCAAATAGTACCATGAGGGCTTGTGCAATCCCCAGACATCTGGGGTTAAAAAGGTGTCCACAAGTATCTCTTAGCTGCAGCAATGTATTTTAGCAACTTGCACCTCCAGTACTTTGTACCTTTTTTCTTATATCTATACCACTTCTACACTTGTTAACACATACTCTGACATTAATCATTTTACTCTATGCTGCTATCTACTGTTTTTTTTCAAATTCATTGGACTGCCTTTTTTCACAGAGGCTCCCAAAAGCATGATTTACTCACTTTTTGTGCACTGTTTGATG